TCTAACAAAAGGGGAACCGACGAATATAGAGAACTTAATAGGCAGATTAGAAAAGGAATCAGACAACAAAAAAGAAAAGAAAACGAAAAATTAATAACAACAACTATTGAAAAAAATAAGAGTATGAAATGTCTCAGACCGACACTAGGACGACGTCAGATGATATCATTAATAGGAAAAGACGAAAATGAAATCACAAGTAGAGAAAACATACTGACACGAATAGAAGAATTTTACACAGAACTTTACAGATCACATCAACAAGATGATGAGATGAGACCAGCACGGAAATTAATAAAAAATATTGGATCAGAAATAATGCCAAAAGTAACAATTTCAGAGGTAACTACAGCATTGGAAAACATGAAGAGAAATAAAGCTGCAGGAGAAGATAGTATTACCACAGATATGATATTAGAAGGAGGTAAGGAACTAATTGCAATTGTAACTAAGCTTGTGGACAGTTGTTTACATCAGGGCAAAGTCCCTAAGAGCTGGAACAACTCTAAAGTAATCGTATTGCACAAGAAAGGTGATAGTCGAAAATTGGAAAACTACAGACCCATCAGCCTACTGTCACACCTGTTTAAAATACTCACCAAAGTCATAACTACTCGACTAACAAGGAAATTAGACGAATACCAACCATATGAACAGACAGGTTTTAGAAAAGGCTATTCAACGTCCGATCACCTGTTAACCACAAAAATATTAATAGAAAAATGTAACGAATACAAGTCTCCAGTTTTCCTTGCATTTGTAGACTACGAAAAAGCTTTCGATACCATAGAACACACGGCCGTAATAAACGCAATACAAAATTGTAGAATAGACGACAGATATATTAACTTAATAAAAGAAACTATGAACCAAGCTACAGCTACATACTACCTAAATGAAAATGAACACACGAACCCTGTACCAAACTGTTCACCTTAGTTTTGGAGGACGTTTTTAAAAACCTAAATTGGAAATATAAGGGAATAAACATCAATGGCCGCTACCTCAGTAATCTACGATTTGCAGATGACATAATCCTGATAGCTACTGACCTACAAGAAATGCAAACCATGCTTGTAGAACTTCATACCGAATCTTCTAAAATAGGACTGAAAATGAATTTAAACAAAACAAAAGTCATGAACTTCGAAGACACCGTGACAATAATAAACGATAAAGTTATAGAAAAAGTTGAAGAATATATATACTTGGGACAAAAAATAATCCTAAATAGGGAAATTCAGACTGAAGAAATAAAAAGAAGAAGAAAGTTAGCTTGGGCAGCATTCGGTAAACTGAACTATATACTCAGAAATCAACAAATTCAATTACATCTTAGATCTAAAGTTTTTGATGCATGCATTATTCCGATATTAACTTATGCGGCACAAACATGGACAATCACAAAAAAGAATATGAATATACTTAGAGTCACTCAACACGCGATAGAAAGAGCACTGCTAGGTATATCACTTAAGGACAAGAAAACAAACACATGGATAAGACAGAAAACCAAAGTTACCGATGTGGTGCAAAAAGCATTAAAGCTGAAATGGGAATACGCTAGACATGTAGCTAGGAGCGATCTAAACAAATGGCACAGATCAATTTTAACCTGGAGACCATACCAACACAAAAGACCCAGAGGCAGACCTCCTATGAGATGGACAGATGATCTGAAAAGGACTGCCGGGAAAAATTGGCTACAAGTAGCGTATAATAAAAACCAATGGAAAGGAAGACTTGAAGAGGCTTATGTTCAGATGTGGACGTGAATAGCTAGACGAAGAAGAAGAAGAAGAAGGTTGTCTTAAAATTATTTAAGGTTGTGTTGAACTGACACAGCGTTCCACTAGACCACGGACGGTTCTTCTTTTTCTTTTGATTACGGGATTTTGTTCATAAGAACTTGTAGGTCTTGTGTTGTTCAGCATCAGCCGGTAACCATTTAGTAGAATACCTTTTTCAGTTTCGTGCAAATCTTCGATAAATATTCTTTCGGAGTACAGATTGAAGATTAGAGGAGACAAAATACAGCCTTGCCTCGCTCCACGCACGACTTTCACATATTCAGTGTGTTCACCTTCAACTCTGAGATTTGCTGTCTGATTCCAATAAAGATTTCTAATTATTTTCAGATCTTGGTTGTTAATTCCTGCTTCGTTTAGTATTTGCATCATCTTGGCATGCTGTGCTCGATTAAACGCTTTCTCGTAATCAACCAGACATGCGTATACGTCGCAGTTTCTACACCTATGGAATAAGACTTGTACTGAGAACAAAGCCTCTTTAGTACCAACAGCATTTGTGAACTCAAACTAGTTGGGGGAAATTTGACTTTCACACTGCTTGTAGATTATCTTATGAATTATCTTTAGGAACAATTTTAGGAGATGACTCATGAGGCTTATAGTACGGTAATCTTCTCATTTTTTGGCTCCTGGTTTTTTTGCAAGTGCAATAAACTCAGATTTCAGCCATTCTGTTGGTATTTCTCTAGAGTTGTATATGTTTTTGAATGCACAATGTAGAAGAAGAAATTTTGCTAATACAGACAGATTAGACTGATTTTACTACACAAGACTTTTGAGGCCAAATTTGAGTTTGTGTGATGTCGGTTTTTTTAACTGTGGGCTTGATCCATTAGCTGCTCAGATGTACGAAAACTATTCTGATTTACAATATTGGAAGAGGGGCCTTACAACTGAATAGTTAGCTAAAATATTCCATAAAATAACAGATGATCAAGCTGAACATTCCGAGTTTGAAGGGGACTCAGACGCTAGTAGAACCTGACACAAAATCAGAAAGATCTTCTAGCAGAAGTTAGTCTACAATAGTGCCATCTACTCTGTCTGGAAGTGGTACAGCCAAATTAAATATAGTAACTAACTACAAGCCTTTTATTTAAGTATAAAACGTAAACATTCTACAATTTACGACTGTTTTGAATACGAGCATTCAGATGATCCTGTAACAGACAGAGCCCGAAAAACCCTTTCAAAACAGCAATGAATGCTTCATCATTAAGTGAAGATGAAGCAACTTTAGATGTTACCAATAATTTTAAGGGGTGGTCTAAAGAACCAAGAAAACCTATTTCATTTAAGCATTGTAATTATGCACAATGCAAGGGTTCGAAAGTGATACCATCTTTTGAAGACCCAGTAAGCTTCTTTTTTGTTTTTTTGATGACACCTTACTACCATACATTGTTAAACAGTCAAATTTATATGATGTCCAAGCCAACAAAAATATAGGTTTGTCCTTAGAAGAATTAAAAGCTTTCCTAGGAATTTTAATTCTAATGGGATTTAATAGTTTACCTTTTATCAAAAAATACTGGTCTACAGATCCAAATTTTCATAATGAAAGGATTACTAATATTTTCCCCCTAAAGAGATTTCTTAAAATATTAAGATATATCCATTTAAATAATAACCAACAAATGCTAGCCAGAGGAACTCGGGAATTTAACAAGTCGTTCAAAGTCAGACATCTTATTCAAAAATTAATAAAAACCTTTATGGAATCTTTTTCTCCGAGCAGAAATATTCCAATTGATGAAAGTATGGTTGCCTTTAACGGAAAGACTACTTTGAAACAGTACATGCTAATGAAACCCATAAGGAGGGGTATAAAAAGTTGGACAATGGCATGTGCTAAAATCGGTTACCTTATCAATTTTGAGGTATATCAAGGTAGAAGACCTAAACGGACTAACGAATATACTTTAGGGGAAAGAGTTATACTGAATTTAGTTAAAGTGTTGAAAAAAAGGGGGAAACTGCTTGTACTTTGACAATTTTTTTTACCACACTTCCTCTTATGAATCAGTTATCAGAACTAGGTCATTTTGGTTGTGGAATAGTAAGACAAACACAAGAACATTTTACAAAAGCACATTTAGTAGATGACAGAACAATGAAAATGGGTGAAATTAATGGAGTTGTCTGCAATGATATTACTATAAGTAAGTGAAAGGATTGTGGCTCAAAATCTGTGACCGTATGCAGCAATATGCATAATCATGGAGAAACTGGTTTTGTTTTGAGAACATCAAAAACTGGAGAACGAGAAAACATTCGCTGTCCTCAAGCCATTGTAGACTGCAATATGAATAAGGGCGGTGTTGATCGATTTGACCAACGAATGCAGACATACTCAGTAGCTTGGAAAAGTCGTCAATGGTGGTTGAAGTTATTTTATTACCTTTTATAGTAAATTCTGCTATACTTTATAAAAAATCTCTAAGGCAGTAGAAAAAAGCAATATCTCACCTTAAAGATAGATCTTAATTGGCTACCAGTCTTATAAAAGATTTTTCTGCGAGAAAAAAAATTGGACCATGAATATGAAGTATTTTCAAAATGTTAATCATTTGCCGCAGAAAACCACGCGAAGACGATGCCAGCAGTGTACAAAAACGGGATTACAGAAACGCAGTGATATATAATGCGTAGACTGCAAAGTTACTTTGTGCTTGGATTGTTTTAAACCATATCATTTAAGTGCCTGAACTATTATTTTTATTATTATATTTTTGTTTGTTTATTACAATATTGTGCAATATTTTTGTATTATTTAAAGTTTTATACCTATTATTGATACACTTTTTATCATTTAGTACACTCTATAGCAAGAGAAATTAGCATGGACATTATTCCTTGATTGAATTCTGGTATAACGGTTGACCAGCATTTTTTTCATAGAAAAAAAATAAAAATGTATTCAAAATCTAGCAACGGATGTAATAACTATAATATTCCAAACTATTATCTGACAAAACTTTAAGAAAGATTTATCATAATGAACTTGCGGCTTAAAGGGTTCAATTAATAAAGTAAATAGTAATGTGTTAATTTTGTTCACGAGTTTAGGTGGTATTATGAAAATTAAACGATGTTTAAAAATATCTTGAGTACGCTCCTGTCCATTTCTTGCGCAGGTACAAAACACCGAGAAACCTGTTCCCTGCCTTCGGCTTCCTTGGCTCGCCTGGAGTTCGAGTGTCATCTACAATCCGAAGAACTACTTTCGAACACTCCGTCCGAGGCGCAACGTGTACTTATACTCGCAAAAAAACATTTTCGTGGACCTCTTCACCATCGAATAACATGCCCCCGGGCCACCAGACGCCTGAATAAAGTTCATCGTGTGACCTAGTGTTAAATTCCCTGTGATTTTGTGAACTTTTAACTGTGAAAATTTAATAATTAACAATGCCTTGTTCTGCTGTTACCTTAAGTTTGGCCACTATTACCTCCATCATAGCTGTCGCTCTTCTTGCTATTGCATTCACAACGGATAATTGGTTGTATATCGAAGTAAAGAGGTCAAGCATTCAGGTAGGTGATATGTTTTGTTAAAATTTTGAAAATCTATTTAATTATTGCGGGTAAGATGAAGTGTTACTGTCTTAGCCCATCATTCATTTTTCTTAACACAAAGAATAATAACATCTGTTCAGTTTTAATTATATGTTGCTATATGTTTCTAGCTTCTTTATTTACAATATTTGTAACTAATAAACTTAAAGTCTATTTTATGTTGGAAATAAAATATTTTGATATACTTATTTTTTTATGATGAATAAGTCGGGTAAATACATCCTTTTCAGAAATCAAGATCATAAATTTGTAATAAAGCTAAAGGTGACGTAAGGTTCCAAATATATTTATAATATATAATTTAGTAAATAGTAAAATTTTGAATGAATAAGTAAATATTCTCTTGTGGATACGGAACCCCGTGTAGAATAGAAAAAGATGACCGAGGATCGAACAACCTTGGATTTCCACAATTCAAATACTATTCAGAAATTGGGCACAAATGTTATTAAATTGATTACTTGCTTCTTATTTTGACATTTAGATATTATCTCAAAAATATGAACAAAACAGACAAGGACAGTCATCACTTACGTGATAATCACAAAGAAACTTCAGAATATTATAAGATTGGAGAAGGACTCTATATAACATTGGATTAGGGTAACGATTAGGTTACTTAAAAACGAAAAACTCTAATGAACGTATGTGTTTTCTAATGGACAAAATCATTTGCAACTCCGCATGTAAAAAAAAGAATAGCCCCTCTGATAGATAGACATGATTTTGATAAATTAAGATACATATAATAAATGATTAATGTGATGAGATAATAAGCTTTCACTTTATATTGTTCTGAAGCTATTTTCTTGTGGCATTTTAAATTAATTACTATTTAACTGGGAATAAGCCACAATTAAAGATTAAAGTACGTTTATTGACGTTTCAATTTCCACTTCGGAAATCGTTCTCAAAATACAAACATTATTAAATTAAACAAATTTTCTTTTTTTATATACAAAAGCTTCTATTACTCATGGCGTCCTCTACTTCGTTCCTCCAGGATCTTCTGGGTGGTCCTCTTTTCCTCCTTCCTATAGGACTCCATTCGGTTATACTCTTTATCATCTGCTGACGATAGTTCTTCTTACATGTCCATATCACTTTAGCCTTTTTTGTTCTATATAATGTTAGTATATCTAGTTCTATAAATGTTTTTTGCTTATTTCGTCATTAAGTACTTCTCCTCTCCATTATTTTTAGTTTTATTCAATTTTCAGCCCCATATGTTATAATACTTTGCACTAAAGTTTTATAAATCTGTGTTTTTGTCTTCATATTTAGGTGTTTATTTCACCATACTGAGTTGTCGGATTGCTGTTCTTGTTTGCCCTAATCTTTGCTTAATTTCTTCCTCTGTTGTTGCTTTTTTCGTGATTATAAACCCCAAGTATTTGAATTTATCCTTTCCTTTGATTGTTACGTTGTCGTCAATCTGTAGATCTTCTATGTGTTCTTCACTTGTATATAGGTACTCTGTTTATGCGAGGATAATATCTAGGCCAGCCTTGGTATATTCTTCTTGTAGTTTCTTCATCATGTAACTGAGGTCTTCTAGTCAAGGCTTTCTCTAAGTATATTTTGAATAGAGTTAGAGATGTGGAAAAACCCTAGAGGAACCCTTTTTCAGTTTTTTTTTTCAATGTGTTGTTGGTAGAATTCGGTCATTCTCTCTCCCCTGTCGTTCCTTGCTCCAAGTCCGAAGTCTCCGATCATCCAGAAACTTTTCCTCTACCTAACTTAGCATTAAAGTCACCTAAGATAAATCTTAGGTCTCGTTTTTTGGTCATCTTTATAAGTTTTTCTACGTCAGCATACCACGCTTCTAGCTCTTCTATGGGTTTATCGGCCGTAGGGGCATAAGTTTGAATGATGTTAATATTTACTGGCTTTCCGGATAGTTGAATAAGAAGACATCGGTCCGAAAATGGTACAAAGTTTGTGACGGCATTGTTGTATTTGTCTTATAAAATTACTCCAATCCCGTTACGATGAACCGGATCATTATTACCCGAGTAATAAAAAGTTTTGTTTATAGTTTTAACTTTACCTGAACCTGGCCATCTAACTTTACTCAAACCCAATATCTGCAACCCTAAACGTTTCATTTCGTGGCATTAATTTGCTAGTTTTCCTGTTTCGAACAGACTTCTAACGTTCCATGTTGCAATCTTAAAGTTTGTATTTAAAATATTTAGGCTATTCCTCCCGGGGATTCTTCGCACCCCTTGATCATCTAAGATCTGCCGGGGTCTAGGGGCCATTTCTGTTTGTGCTTTCATTGTAGTTTTCTTGGGAAATATATACCAGAGTGGTTTCCGGTTGTCTTCTCTGGTTTGTATTTTACCCGATCCTCTGGACACAGACGCTATTTGCAGCCGCCCACTCTGGATCAGACGCTGCGTGCTAGTTTGATCCCTACCACTTAGCAACTCATCCGCCCGAAGCCGTTGGTCAGCAAGTGGGAGATCGCTTATACCGGCAATCGCTCGGTAAAATTTTTGCCATATCTGGCTACCCTCACTTAGTTTAGCCTGCAGACCAATGCAGTTGCCCGGGGTGTGGTACGTGGAGCCATAAGTGAGAGTTAGCTGTCTTATGAGGACCATTTATCAAGAACCATCTCCCGGCTATGACGCTCGATGTGGTCGTTCCGATAAAAGGTGCTACCTCTGTAACACAACTCTACACCCCTATGGGTAGTATATGTTTATATGCATTTTAATTGTCCTCTCGTTGATTGGTTCCATGTTCTAATCCTGTTCTTTCACTTATTTTTGATTAGTATTCCCACTCCTGCCTTTGCTCTACATTCCTTATTAACTCCGCTGCAGCAGTGAATATGGTCTTCTATTGTTTCAGTTCCATTCCTTTCTTTTTGATTTCTGTTGATTCTAGCATGTCGATGTTGCTTTCTCTAAACTCATTGATCGCTTCTGACGCCTTTTTATTCCATCCTTGTATCTTCCACGTTGCACATATGACTGTCCTATATTTTCTTCGTTTTGGCAGAGGTGTGGATTTCCATCCGTGTATGTGCTTCCGTATTTGGCTTTTTCACCTTACGATTTTCGTTCTTCTTACGGAAGAACCAACAGCGATCAGACGCTGTTGGTTCTTCCGTCCTCTCGACCATTGTGACTTTTCCAGCCATCTTTTGCTTTTGAGACCGTTGACCGGTTTTCACCTGTATCCCAGACAGGGACCCTCGCAGGCTGCTATCAGCCGGGTCAGCTGGACCCTGTTTTTTTTTTGATGAGTTGCTCCTCTGTCCCTCCTCTTTTATCGGGCTTGGGACCGGCTGCATCGGTTATAGAGCTACTCAATTCACTCCTCACCAATACAGGCAGAGTTTATATTTTATATATATATATATATATATATATATATATATATATATATATATATATATATATATATATATATATATATCTCCGGTTTTTTTTAGGCGTTACGCCCGTCCGGTAGGGATCTATGGAGGAGTATCACCAAGCCGCAAGCCCTTATCTCTTGCCGTACTGCTCCACCATAGGCCGATCAGATCCCAGCATATCCTAGTCTAAGCGGCAGATTCATCTAGAATTTTAAACTGCTGCGTTAGACTTTTTGTTTTCAGTACACCGAGCTGGGGCTCGAACCCACATCCACTGAACCATTCGACAGTGAAGCGAATGAGAGGCAGCCGCACAGCCCGCTGAGCTATCTGACCGACTATATTTTTTTAGCATATTGCAAATATAGTGTGGTTAAAAAATATAATTATCAAAAAAAAAAGCAAAGAATTTCGAATTTCGAAAAATTTCAAGATGAGCACTTTCCCAGCACATATTATTTGTCGTCACTAATTGATTAAAGATGCCATTGTCTATGTCCTACCAGCATTGTTTATTATTTCCACCTTGTACTTTAAACTTAGATCGTGTATCTACAATCGACATCCCCTATGAAATGTTTATTTAAATATCTACAGAACGTTCCTATGTAATGAATCGGTAATTAAAAGCGTTATTTACAATTAAAACAAAGAATGTTGAACACAAACCGGGTGTTTGTGTAGTACAATGCATTTATACCTGTTTCCAAGGTTAATCGTTACACAATCTTTAGATATTTACAGATGTATTTTAGATTCAAAGTTTAATTACAGTACAGGGCGATTGAACAACGAACACGAATCTCAAATTTATTAAAATTGCGTGTAGTTGATGCTACTGTAGTTTACGAAAGAAATATAACCTCTCACGTTTCATAATGGAAGGAAAAAGTTGGTTGAATATTAACTCATTTAAAGAATTGAAGGACGAAGGACCACCAGCCAAGGGCTGGAATGAAAAACAGATTAAACAATAACTTATATTTAAAGCTAAGATTAAATAGCAATTTCTGATAAGTATGCAAAGACCTTGAACATTAGAGTCTACTTCTTTAAGTTCCATCTTCTATCGAAGGTTGGAAACCATCATGGCTATGCGGACTCTGTTGACTGCCGCTCTAAAAAGTTCTGCACTACTGCATTCAAACCATTCCCTTAAGTTCTTAAGCCAGGATATTCTTCGTCTTCCCACATTTCGCTTTCCTCGGATTTTGCCCTGCATAATAAGTTGTAATAATGCGTATTTTTGCCCTCTCATCACATGTCCCAAGTACTCAAGTTTTCGTCTTTTAATAGTTAATATTATTTCCGCCTCATTTCCTATCCTTCTAGTTACTTCCATGTTTGACATTCTTTGAATCCATGATATTCGTTGTAGAGTCTACAGTAGTGCCAATATCTAAAAGTTTGAGAGCACATTGAGGATAACGTCTTAACAATGATGAGAGAAACAAACTATACCTTGCAGTATACAGCTGGTTTCAAATGCAGTAGCGAGCAGTTTGGCGAAATTTTTATTGCGTATTCAATATAAACAGTGCAGTAACATTGCAATATTAAACAATTTGAGAAGAATATTTGATTT